GTGGTGGTGGTAATGTCACCAGATTATCACTCCACAGAACGTGTGCTCGAATCCTGTCCCCATCACCACCGCCTGACTTCCCCATTCTCGGTGTGTTCTATGGCAGCCCGGGTTTGATTGGTCGCTTCCCCCGTCCTGAAAATTGTATCATGTGTTCAATAAATGGAAGTAAAAAATGAAAAATAGGTTGAAATTTTCTAAGAAGAATACCGTATGTGAGCATTCGCATAATTTTACGATGATTCAAGCGAAAAATGTTCGGTTGTTGCGTAATCATCAAAGATGTTTAGAGATAAGTGAACGACCAGGAGAACAGGATTAGCAAAAACCAGAATAAAAGTTGTTAGCAGAGAAACGGTTACGTATTGAAAATCGGTCAACTACGAACAATAGGCAGTTGAAAATGGTTACACAATATCAAATAGGAGAATGTATTGCCCAGGTAAAGTCAGAAATTTGTTTAAATGAATACAGAAGGGTGAGTTGTGAGTGCTACTACTCCATTCTTTTTACTTTATTGCGGCTGACTCCTTGGAAAGGATAAACTGGCTCCAGACTTGATCATAAAGTTCCTTGGGCTTTTGGTACAAGAGAGACGTCCCCAGCGTCACTCGGCGTCTTTTTATTTTGAGGGCACACCCTCAGCCTTTGCACAACCAAGTGTGAACTGCAAGGCACCAGGAAGTAATCCCTCGCCTCGGAAGCGAAGACTTGAGTTTTTAAAATCCCGTCACATCGACCTTTGTTTCGACACCGTCATTGTTCTTATGCGGCTTTTAAACAGGAGCTAGGTGACCAGCCTGAAATCCACCACACCCTGGAAGTGCCGCCACTGTTTGTTTGCGACTGCTTACTTGTTGCGGTACGCCACAACTTATTCACAGTACCGCATTCATGCTTTAGACACCGACTACCCGGGAATTGAACTCTCGTTTACCCCTAACCTGGCTTGGCCTGCCTGCCGAGCGGTTTATCAGGGTGTGATTGCTGTTGCATCCAGACAGCTTCTTGGAGCTCCTGGTGGAAACGAAAGAATGGAGGATGCCCCAAAGGGGGTCGACAGCCTTCCGAGTCTGAGGTGCTACTCCTACCGGCACCCCCATTCACCTAAGAGAAAATCAGTTTGCGCTTGTGAAGTCCATTTGGCGGATGGTTTGGTGAAAAACACAGCACTCGACGATGGACTATTTCGGTAAAGGCAAACACGCTTGTTATTGCTACCCTGAGCTCATTGGTCAGTTATCATTGAATCGTGGAGATGCATATTACCACAGGGAATTTAATTGTTGGGCTTCTCGACACGCTAAGAAAGCCGTCTGTTTTTTTTTCATTCTAGTCTCATTTTTCTCACGATGACTCCAGTATCCAACATTTGTTTGTTTGTTTCAAAAGGAGAGAAATTTGTAAAGCTCGGGTATTGGTCTGTTTTTCTCATTACGGAATCTTTTTCGAGTTGTGTTGTTCTTAATCATTAAAAAGATACGTGTTTCACAACGCGGAACACATTGAAAGAAAGGTATAGCTTTCGTGGATACGTAATATCATTTGGTGTGTGCGTTATTCTTTATCCCCTCACAGTCGCTTACGTAACTCCTACCGCTCTTCATTTCCATTAATTTATGGACTCCATTATAGCACGGAAGTCACACAATGTACGGATGTTAGTTGTTTGTTTATCACAATGTAGCTTCGATAAAATACTCTTTTTATTTCAAAAGATTTGGTCACCAACTTTAAATATTATTATTATACATTTTTGTGTAGTTATTTCCCACTCCATTCATCAGTCATCGACTAAGTTAGAGGGGGGGAGGGTGTATGCCTGCTATTGTATTCTATGGTTGTTGATACGTGTCAGCTCATCTCAAGCGGCAGACTTCATGAATTTTCTTTGTTGTGAGCTACGCATGACGACTGTTTGTATTGTATCGTAAAAGGAAAAAAGTGGGTCATCAAACCTGTAAAACCGTCAATTAACTACTGAAAGCTCAGAACGAACACTCTTTGTGGGTTAGTATCCCGTTTAAGATAGAGTACCAAGAGGTTTCTGTAGGCAGATATTCGAGATGGGATGNAGTTTGTATTTGGAACGGGTGGAGGGATGGGATTGGCATACACATAAGTTAATGTGTAAAGGATGGATGCAATCGAATAAAATATTGTCAGCAAACTTCCAGCACTCATCAATATGAGCATGAATCAGAACAGATCAAAGCACTTGGGAACGCGATGGGGATGAGAAATTGTAGCGCAGCTGTTCAAGAGGCTGACTGTTTGACCGATCCAATGTGGGGAGAGGGCGTCTGGACATTCCAGTCGTTGAACCGCTTGACTATTATCATCATCATCCATAACTAATGCATCTTTTTGCGCATTTGGTTCTGGCAAGTTGGTCTCGGTATTAGCTCAAACAAATATTCCCATTAGTCCACGTTGGAATCCCATCATCTGTTTAGCCGTTTTTTCGTGTCATTAAACTTCACCTGTGTGGTTCTTCACGTTCAGATCGAATCTATGAAGTCCTCATGTATTTGTGTGTAAATTTCTTTCCGATTCTTTGCAGAACTGAGAATCCGTGTCTGGGCGACACTCATCTATCTCCAATACTTTCCGTTCAACTTCGTGAAGCTCTCCCCCGGACTTGGTGTTCGCCCAATACCACACTGGTGACTATCCAGGGAATTTTCACCGTCGATCAGTTACAACAGATGGAATCGATCGCACGGTATGTGTGACCGCTCCTCCCGCCACCGTACAACCCAGCTTTGCGTTCTGTCCCCTAGTAGGCTAGAATGCGGTTAACTGGAGTGCTTCGCACTGTTCTTTTCAGGGGGTTGGATGGGGGTCGTGTTTATATCATGGTCAGTTCTATCACTCTCTCACTCTCTAACCAGATTCAATGAAAAAACTGGTCGGTTTTCACTTGAGACAAACGGTACAGAATAAGCTTTTTTCCAGCAAACCACGTGATCTTGTCGACACTATGACTCTTAGATTGAATTACAGCTTTTGCCGTCGATCTCCGGAGTTCAGTGGAATAGTGTATAGAGTTGTGTCAACCTTGATCATGGAATGCTCAGTGTGTGAGCAACATTTCCGGGCCACGGGAATCATTGTCTCTATCGCTATCTGTGTTTTGCCCAATTCAAATTTGTACATATGTGCATGAAACGGAGAGAACCGGAGGATACGTGTATATTCGTGCACCACAGCTTCATTCAAACTACTCCGTATCTCATAAAGATAAACATCTATTAATAACTACAGGTATTGTTCTCATTAATGAGGCTAAGTTCCAAATTTGTGCCTTCAAACCATGACAACTTCTGTATCTACTAGATACGATCAGTGCTCAATGATCTCCGCAGTCGGGTTCGAGTTTGTACGCCGTTGGCATTCAGCGAATTGATTGATTAGAACAGACCATCCTTCAAACTTTACATTCACGCACATTTATCAGCTCTTCCAGTCAACCATACACACCGAAGCACTAGATTCAAGTTTCGCTCTTATTAGAGCTCATCAGTAGTGCATATTCACCGTCCCGTCCGGGTGTTAAACTCCAGACCCATCGCACGGAAGGCGAATGTGTTACCACTGTACCAACCAGCTCACGCGAAATTCGAGTCTGTAGTGCTTCCGGGCGTATGATTGACTGCAAGAGCTGAGGGATGTGCGTGAAGTGAATTCTGAAGGGTAGTCAGTTCTAATCAATCAATATCACTTATCCTACAACACTGTTCACAAGTAATTGTAAGTTAAATGCGAATTAACAAATTGCGATTCCGCAGTTCTCGAAAACAACGGGAATAATTCGTTCCCGATATATCGTTGACAGGCCAAATGCTGACCTGGTTGGTCATCCTCGGATATGTTGGAGCTGCCTCAGACCACGTGATTCAA